AGCAGGCTGTTTTAAGCAGGACAATGCAAATGACAGCATGGGCAGTTTTACAAATAGGAAAAAAGACGTGCTCAAAAGTACTCACATCGATTGATGGAGTCCTGAGGCATAGAGGGCCGCCTGCTGCTGCAGTATTCGTAATTGCTGTAGCTGTTGAGCATGTTGGAATGAGAAGGACATCATCTTCTCCTGCTCATAGCGCTGACGTGCAATTTTCTTTTCGACTCGTGTGAGACGGTAGTCCTTCCGGTCGATAAGTAGAGATTCGTGTGTGAAAGGTTTCTGTAAAACATAAGCAAAAGAGGCATGCAAGACAAGTTGGATTGACTACGTCGTTGAAATCGACAGTGAAAACCGCGGCACCTCACTGATCTGGTTACGGAAGATGGTCGTCCAGCTTTGCTTTGGAGTTTAATCTAGAGCTCTCGCAGGCAGTCGCATAGGGACTTGTAGAATATGATCGAGTAGGACTAACAAAGGCAAGGGAGACTCAAAAGGGGGATTCGTACTCATTAGTCGTCATTAGCCAGTCATACCCAATCTCAGGGGTGGCAAAAGCCCGAGACTTGAACCCGGGACCTTTGGTCATTGGGTGAAAAAGTCAACCATTGCACCACGGGCTCGCTGTTTTTGTGGGTTGCGATTGGGAATATGATTAATGCTAGGGCACTCACCCATCTGGTTTCGGAGCATGATCGTCCCGTTTCGCTCGATCTGGAGCACTCGCAGTCGGTCAAGCTATAATAACCGGCGGTGTGAATTGATTAGACTTACAGTATCACTAAACAAAAACTACATCCGTCACCTGATGGACAGCAGGCGTCTTTATTATTTCACGGGCAAGTGTTGGCCTGTTTCCAATGCACGAGCCATCGCGATAATATCGTGGCTTTTAGATTATTAGGTTTGAAAACGTCTCCAAAATTTGGATTTCATACTGCTACCTAACCCCGAGAGGTTGTGACCTAACTGCCCAAAGAAGTTGCATTTGGAAAATTGAAAAGCAGTATGCACTGTGCCGAGATGGCCACAAAATTCTGCGCACTGGCAATGCAACATATACAAATATATTATTAGAGAGACAAACAGAGGCAGGTGTGGAAGCGAAATAAAAACCAGAAACCGAACCGTCGTTATCCAGGCCTTGTGGGCTTCCAGGGTGGATCGTAGGACGTCATCACTGTCAACGAGCTCGCCAATTGATTTTATGTCATCATCCGTGATGGATGGCATCTCCTTGTCATCATATGAGATCAGCACCTCCACTTGAGACCGCGTAAACTGTTGACCGGGGTTCAACTCATCAACTACACGATCGGAGACACCTTGCTTTGTAACCTGTCCAATGAGAAGGGGCAGGCAGCAGTCGTAAGTAGCGGTTAAAAGAAGTGAATGGCTTAGATGGTGGCTTAACTTATTTGCCTGAACTGTAAAAATGGATCGGTGACTAATTTTGCAACGGGGAGACTGTGGTCTGCAGACAAACATACAAGTATGGCAATTTTCTAGGAGAAACATTCGGCGAGGAGAGGCGACAACGTCTCAACGGCTAGGCCGTTACCTTCAAACCTCTGAACACAAAATGTAAGACGTAAATGTGCTCTCAAACAAAAAAAACATTTGTCGAGGGGTGCCATCCTAGTAGACACAGGGATGATTTTCATAAAAAAAAATAATGCCGTCTGAACGTTATGCAATTGGACCACGCTTTTCAATCTACTCAAAGCTCGCGTGGCCGAAGGCTAACTCGACATCTGCCCCGCACGGTTCGTACCACGCCACGAAACAGCACAGCAAGCATCCCCGTACCACTCACGCCACCACTAAACGATGACACCTTGCGTCCTCACACTTCCCAGCAAAATGCGAGTCAAGGACGACTGGACGACACGAACTAACTGTCGGACCCCTTCTCCTCCTCTCTTCCCCCAGCCTTTCTCCTCTTTGGTGCT